GGCTTTTCTGCTTGTGATCAGCCGATAAAGGGCAGATGCACAACGTCCTTTGATGCCACGAACCCACTAATAAAACTCTAAATAGTAGAACAACTTTGTCAGCGATCCAGAACTCCCGCGTGCTTTAAATAGTAATCTCCCGAAAAGGTTCAAAGAAAATTCGAAACCCTTTGATAATTCTTATGAATGACCTGAATGTTCGACTACAGCATGTGGGATTGCTCTCACAAAAAGGCAATGACAAATAACCTGTTAAACCACTTATAAAAGAGTTACCTGCTTCGGAACCTTGGCGAGACCCGAGAAAGCGGTGGTGCTCGTAGTGGACGATCTCTTTTACTGATCTGCGCCATCTGTTTAACAGCAATTCCTTGAGAACATATTCCACCCACAATGAGGAAACTTCTGCGACTCATCTGATGGCTTTACGCACATGACTTAAACCACGGCCAAAAAGTTGGAGCCCCAAGCAGCTATGTAGCAGCAAAATCCGTCAAAACCGTTAAATAAACCGTCAATTCGGTAAAACAAATAAAAGAATGCGATGAATCTTCGCTGTGATTGGCAGCATCAGTGGTGCTCTTTGTTCTTACTGGCCTTTTCATTGAAATTTTTTAAAAATAAAGCAAGAGTCGTAACAGCTTTCTATTAGCGCGTTTTCACAAACAGTTCCAACGAAAAATCATGCGGAAAGAAACGCGAAGGTTACAGATGTAATACTGGAGCAAACAGCCGTAAAACATGTCGAATCGAGGAGTGTCTACCATTTTTGGCAACGGGCCAAGAGCACGCACACGCCACACACGACGGAGGCTCCTCTATATTTTTAGAAGCGATCCGTGTCAAGTGCGCACCTCTTGGCTCATTGCCAAATGTGGTATATTCCCCTCAACTGCAGGTATTTTACTCGGATCGCCCGGCTGACGCCCTGCTCCCCTCCTTCCCTGTTAAAATCGTCTCCCTGCCTGCACCGCCCATCAAATGGAGCGCACTAGGTTCACGGGAACAGGAGCTATGATTTTCCACTCAAACCGCGCCCACTGGCCCGCTGTGG